TGAAGAGGTTGCATCGGAAAGGACAGACCCTATTGAAATCCTGCGTAAGAATTCTTTTTTCCCCCCTCCCATTATGTGCTCAAAGTGACTTGACGCCCAGTCATTTTCTGTTGTTGTCTCAACTGGCCTGCTGTCATTGCATGAGCTTTCAGTCTTTGCACAAGTTAAGTTTATTATATGGTCATTATTTATGTTTATTACCTACACTTACTTTGTAATGCGTTTGTGGAGGTGAGGGTCAGGAAAAAGAGATATCTGGACATAAGGGATGAACCAGTGTTATGGCTTCGTCAAATTTAAATGCAAATGTAGATATCCACAATGGATTTCCAAAAAAGCTAGAGTGATCATCACACGCTTGAATAAAATAAACACAGGAGAAAATGGACACTGCTATTTTTTTCCAAAAATATTCTTCCCCATTCTTTTGAGGTGTAGGTCAACCCCCTACCAGAAGCCCTTCATGTAATTATTGTAGACCGTGGTTCTAGGAATCCAAAGTTCCTTTGATGGCACCACCCTTTAAGACAGTGGCTTATTTCAAAAGTTCTGTCTTTGGATGTTTACCTTTTGTTGGGAGCAGATTAAAAACACCACCTGTGTTCCCATCTCTTTGGCTTTCCTTCTTAGCGGCTCATAGTCTCTTGATATTGTTTTCAGGCTCTTTGTTATACCGTTCATTCTCACATGAAAGAGGACAAAAAGGAATAATAATCTCTGGACAATTATTTTAGCACACCTCTCAATCTTTGATCTTTGCTCCTGGGAGACAGCATACTTCTCTAGATAAGATTGTCTGGTCTACAAAACTGAGATTTTGTTCCCTGGAACAGTGAGTCTCTTATCAACAACAGAAACGGGTTTTTTTCCCCTGAGGAAGTCTAGTCTACTTTTTTTCCTCTCATAGGTGACATCTGATGATGTCCTTTCTCCAGAAGTCTGCATACTTTCATACAAGGGGAGGCTTTGAAGTTGATGGTTTAGCTCCAGCAGGGCCGGACTGGATTACCTGGATAACGTTCTTTATTTTTTGAGAGCACGGGACCCTTCTGGTAGCAGAATATATAGCCAAGCCATAAAACATAACAGAATTCAAATAATTTCATCTGAATTTAAACTGGGAATGGCTATTAATGAAACACAGAGTTGTTTCAAATTGTGATATGTAGCAATGCAGGCATGTTCATAAAACATGCCTTTTTTCACAGAAGAAAAAAGTAAACAAGGTATACATTTAATGGCTTTATTTACTGCTTTACAGAACCTTCCAACACAGGTGAAATTGCAGCAAAAAAGGAAGAGCAAACTTTGAATGATCTTGTGAATCTTTTGCAAGATGTGGTAAAAAATATCCCCACAGAACTTGTATTGTCCAGTGAACCACCAGCAACTATTTTGGCACCCAGGCTAGTAACTTCTCCATCCGTAGCAATGGACACTGTTTGGGTGAATGTGAACCCCACAAATAGTGACAAGTCCAGAACAATTGCCTTGATGAAAAAGAATACTCCAACTACAACAGCCTTTTGGAAACTCAGAAATGACGCGTCTGCATCTGTTATCCTGCATTCCAACCCAAGTCCCTCAGAATATCTCCCAAGTGACACAAGTGAGTCTGTTATTCTGATTTCTGAAGAGCCAAATCCAGGAAATACACTGAGCACCATTTCAGTTCAGTTGGAAAAAGAAGCAACCACTAAGAAAGAAGGTAAGAGTTTTGATCAATTAACAAATGGAGCCTTGGCTAGTCTAGTGGAATCGCTAAGGAATGTACAAAAGTTACATAGGACACTAGACAATAACGAGCCACAGCAGAGAAGCCATCCAGTGAAGTTGGTTCATCATAAGCCTAGAGGTTTAGACGTCTTAGAAGCAATTGATACACTAATTACAACCATTAAGAATGCACCTTCCTCTGTTAAAAAAGACCCAGATCTTCATGAGTATGTTGAGCAAGCAGAGGGTTACTTAAAAAATGCCCTGGAATTATCAGGGGAGGCAGAGAGGAAGCTGTTGCAGAAGAAGGAACAGCAGATGAAACTTGACATTGAGCTTCTTAATCCCCCATCAACAGCTCCACCTATAACAGAAATGAAGTTGGACATAGAGCTGCCTTCCTCCCTCTCATCTGAAGCATCTGAGACAGAGATAAAGCTGGACATAGATATCACTCCTTCCTCGTCAAGTGTTCCACCCACCACACAGGTGGAGATAGACGTATCTCCTTCCCCATCAACAACTGCATCTGTACCAGAAGTGGACATCATTTTGCCTGCATCTGAGTCTCCTCCAGAAAAGAAAGCAGAAGACACAGAGAAAGAAATGGGGAAATTAAAAGCATTTATTAATTTATTATATGGCTTTAGTCCTGAATTAACTGAATATGCAGAGAATTCACCACATAAAAAGATGGCTCAGGATATTGTTGAAAGATCAATGGAAGTCCTTGATGCCATAAAGAGTGTTTTTTGCGGAAATCCTAAAAAGGAAAGTAAACAGATTTTGAAGCAGTTGTTACAGAAAGACATGGAGCTTGTAAGACAAGCCATGAAGGGGAAAAAAGCCTCTTAAGATACATTTACTCCTTGGCATTGTAGGTTTTTATGAACAATCAAGAGGTCTGGTTTCTTAATTGTAACAGCAATTGAAATACACCTGTAGCCATTTTCATGCCTGAAATTAAATGTTTGTTTTTAAATATTTTTGTTTTCATTTTTTTTCTTTGAATTGACATCTATTATTAAAGATTAAGGAACAAATAATTAATTTAACAGTTGTATGTTAAAGGTCATTTCAGAAAATTCTGTTCTTGTCATTGGATTAACTGAACAATTATTTACAGTTCTTGCTGTTCTACGCTTTTCTTACTGAATTCTTACCTGGATGAATGACCGTAAGATTAGTGTCTAGGAAGTGGGCAAGTGCTTCTGGGATTGATGGTTATTCATTGTTGTTTGTTCTCAGGAAAGGAACTCAGAAGTTATTTGTGGACAGCTATGTTGCTGTTAGCATCATTAATCCATACTTGATAGGATAAAAATTCTTGTACATCGGATACGTGTTAAACAAATTTGGAAGCCTAAACAGATAGAAATAAAGTGAGAAACGCACCTTTTAAGACACTAAAATTCAAGATGAATAATGTAATCCCAGGACAAAAGATTCTATGGAAAGCTTATTTGAAACATTAACAAGATTTATGCTCATGTAGAACACAAATTATTTTTTGTGCTTTTGCAGTGTTACTCAGTTCAATGAATTAGTGAAGAACAAATCAATTGAACAAGCAAACAAGCTTCCTTTTTCGATTGAAAAGTGTTATCTGAAGTAATTATGTTTTGGCCTCCCCTGAGTTGCTTTTGCATTTAGCTAGTCAGCAACACCTGTTACAGGAGTGTGGCATAAATTTAAGCAAGCCCCTCGTGGACGGGGGAGTGCGGCTGGGCTGCTGCAGAGAAGGTATCGAATGCTACACGGCGATATTTCGTTCAGTGTGTTTATGTCTTTTTTATGTGTGTCAAAAAGAAGTTCTGTAAATTATTTTGGGAAGGTTTCAAGGAGTTAGACAAAGAAGCCACTGGCACGAAAATTTCAGGTAATCCATTCCTATCTTTTGCAATGCATTTTGAATTTCATGTCTGAATTATCCAGACTCATTTATTTTAAGTCTTTTTTCTTCAGAATAAATGTGATTTGATTCAGCTGAGATGAGTGAGAGAAAACTGCATACAGCCTTTGGGGAGGAAGTTTTAATTCTCCCAATTCAGTGATTTGAGCAAAGTTCAAAACCGCCTCTTATTTGGACATTTTCCACGAGAAGGAAAACGGAGCACATTTATTTTGTAAAAGGTTATTATTACTTGACTTTATGAGAAGATTTTTCACACGACCTAAATGATCAAAATGCTTAAATAATTGAGTTTTTTAAGAACAAAAAATCAGTATCTTGTTTCTTTGATAACTGTGGCCGCCTTTCAAGCTACATAGATGTAAGGCAATTGATTTTGCATGTGCAAAATGATAGTCTTTGTAATATTTTCACTGCACAAAATGCCTCATTCTCTAAGTTGCTGCAGCTTTCAGCATGGAATGACTTCCCGATTTGTCATCCCACAGTATTTGGCTTCCCTAATCTGGAGAAGTATATGGACCTGGTGTCTTCTGGGCTGGGTTAGATTTTCCAAAATGCTCAGCAGATCAACTGAGACACAAAGCAAATTGAAGTAGAAAATTACCAGTTTTTCACATGTCCATTTGCAGTCCCCTGTTCATAATAATGAGGTAGAGTAGCAATTTTATTTTAAGTTTGCTATTCTACAAGTAGAATTGGTCCAGAAAGGGGAGGAGAATTCTTGTGCTCTCTTTCTGAGAGACGGAAAATATGGATAATATGGCTCTGGAGTTATACTAATTTAAGCAGCACACAATCCCCTGGGCATTAGGAACGAATTCATGGAGGGAATGTGGCAGTTAGAATATTACCTGCTCACAGACAGAATCTCAATGACAGAGTCTCAATGCTGTAAAAATGGCAATAAGATGAAAATGTATAAATAAGAATTGCATCATTTAGCTGTAAATTACACAGCAAGTACCAAGAGATAAAATGTTAACCAAATTGGCTGAAATCAACAACAACAACAAAGAAAAATGCTTTCTCTAATCTGACAATTACAGTGTGGAATGCAAACTCTGTCCATAAGATTCTCAGCTGGAGCGACAAATCATATGAAGATTTTAGTCACTGTTACCATTATTTGTTGAAATAACACGCCTGATTAAATTCACATTTGAGAGGGACCTTTGGGAAGTTCCTTTGGGGTGGGTCCTTGTAGTCCGTATGATTCTGCTGTGGTGACTGAGCCAAAAGTGTGATGCAGTTGCAACAACAAAACAACAACAACAACAAAAGGCACATGCTAGTAATACGGTGTCAAGTTCAAGAGACGTGGTCGTTCTTTATTCTCCCTTTGGTCATTTCAGCCCCAACATAAGAACACTCTGCTTTCTTGCTCTCTCCACTCTATTATGGTTAACATTTCCAAAATTTGCAAATCGAATCACGGGATTGGACAGACGCTTCCCATGAATTACGTACTACGGTAATTTCTTACGGTTGTTGCAAGCTATAAAACCAAATTGGAAAGTCCTCTAACATTCTCAGAGGATCTGTCCCTTAGATTTGATGCAGTGTTAACTTATTAGTATTGTCTGTGTAATCTTACTGCATCCTCGGTTTTTCTCTGGAAGGTATGTGTGTGCGTGTCTGTAGAATGACCCTTAGTTTATAGAATATGAACACCTGGAGAATCACAAACAGGAATGTCCAGGGTGGGGTAGGGGGGTGGAGTGAAAAATACCAAGAGGGTTGGCAATTTTGCGATCAAAGTCCCATATGGACTTCACATCCCTGGAAAAGAATGATGCTCAACCCCCTTTGGCAGCTGAGGCCCTTTCATCTGCCACCGACACACACACGTTTCATCTGTGGTATCACAATGCACAAAAGGGAGCAAACAAAAGATCTTAGAAGGTGATCCAATGAAATGGCCCAGAGCCATAAAGCTGCTACTGTCAGTTAACCTATCTAGTCAACAGTAGTCAAAGCAGCTCAGATTGAAGTGGGGTGGAGAAAACAGTAAGACTTAGATCTAAGGAACCTGAGACCTGCATTTCTTTTCATTGCTGTGATTGTCTTTGTTTTTTCTTCCAGTGTTAATGTTTTAATACTCTCCCAAGCCACCAAACACTGCCTGGTGAGTGGGCATTAAATCAACGGATTAGATAAATCTTAATAGCTTTGAAAGACAATCTCAGGATCCAGAATGCCTCCTATGAGGAAAGAGGTAGCTTTCAGGGATTGAAGGATCTGAAAACTCCGCAGCATCCATCAAGAGAAGAGATGCCCACCAGGGGACCAAGGAGAGCCTTCAACGTTGGTAGCCTTCCTGCAGTTGGCAGGGTTTTGCCAAAGGCAGCCCAACAGGGGACAGCCTGCAGGGATCCCACTGAAGGACAGCAGCTACTTGCCTTCTCCTGACCAGACTGCCATTGGGACCACTTAGGGGCGTGTTTGTTCATCCGGTTTCTATAGTTGCCCATCCCGGTAAATGATTCTGGGCGGCTTATAATGAAACATAACTTACAATTAAATCAATTAAAACATTAAAAGAAAAATAAAGACGTTCCAAAATAAATACACGAAGCAGTCAAAGATACTAGGCCAGTTAACACTAAAGCCAGGAAATGGGCCCAGTCACCGAGCTCAAGGACGCAGCCAGTTTATAACCCATTCGGCTAGGGACTCTTATTTCGTCTGGACTAAGTTTCTAGCTACTGACCCTCAGCCTTGTCCGGGGCCAGCTAGCTATTTTGGCATGCGAGGCAAAGTCTCGGCACCCTACAGCTTTGGCCCATCTCCCCGTTGGGTTAGGAATCTCCCCAAAATGGCCTCTTGTTTCCTTTTTCCTTCAAGTTTTTGAGTTTTACACCAGGGGTGGGATTCCATTTTTTTAAACAACCGGTTATGTGGCCGTGGCTTCTATTTATTTATTTTTTTGCAGCAGCCCCCAGCCGTTTTTTTTATTTTTTGGCCTCCTGGCCCTCAGAGAAGCCTCCTGGGGGGGGGGCATTTTTGCTCCCAGGAAGGCAAAAAACGGAGCGGGGGGCACAGCAGCAGCCCCCCCCACACACACACACACTCCCCCACACCCCTTTTTGCCTCTGGGGCCTCAGGGAAACCTCCTGGCGAAGCAGTAAGACAGCAAGGGGGATCCCGGCCCAGCTGATCACCGGAATAGCTGATCGTTGGGAGGGATCGATCTCTGAATGAATCTGTGATTCTGCGAGCAACACGACCTGCCTGCCTGCTTGGCCTGATTTGGGGTAAAAGTTGCTCTTTTTAAAATAAAAAAAATCAATATTTATATAAATATAATATTTACATACAGGCTATTAATAAATAAATTAGGCCACGCCCACAGAACCAGTTAGTGGTCCCTGGGATCTAAAATTATGAGTTTGGTGGTCCCTGAGGTCCAAAAGGTTGGCGACCCCTGGACTAGGTGGACATGATAGCCGTCTTCTATCTGAGGGGCTATCAGGGAAAGGCGTTGGTCAAGCTATTCTCCAAACCATCTTAGGACAGGATAAGAAGTGACGGATAGAAACTTACAAAAGAGAAATTCAACCTAGAACTAAAAAGAAATTTCCTGACAGTGAGAACAACTAATAAGTGCCTTCAGAAGTTGTGGGTGGTCCATCCCTGGAAGATTTAAAGAAGAAATTGGACAGCTATTTGTCCAGAATGGTCCCTTCCAACTCTGTTCCTTTGTTATCTACCTTGTAGGACTAACAACCATGACCCTGGATGACAACACAAAATGGCTCCTGTGGGTAGCCAAGCAGTTTGAGAATATCGCTGGTGACAATAAAGAAATCAGCCTGGAACAATTCAAAACGGCACTTAAAGTGAAGGAGGCAAGTTGGGTCTGACTGAGCTGTGTGGGGGACAGAGCCGTACCGTGCCGGAATGACCACTGTTGCCAGCAAAAAGTACAGAGATGTTTTATTTCCTCTCTTCCTTGATAGAATTGACAAATTGATTCATGCATTTGATATGCTACTTAAAGTCTAGAGACGAAGAAGCAGAAAGGCGGGGGGGGGGGGGGGGGTTGGTTGAAAGAGCAGATTTTTTTAAAAAAATTATTTATTTATTCATTTATTTATTCAATTGATATAGCTGCCTATCTCACATGTGATTTTGAGCAACTAACAAGTTAAAACAACTGTAATACCTATATTGAAATAATTAAAACAATTAAGCAAAATATAAAAATGTGGGGAAGTGCCAACCTATAATTTGCAGAAAATACAACCACCTTGCAGAGTCTCCATCCATGTACCACTGATCTTACCAGAAGACGAAGAAGCCATAGAGCAGGAAAGCAATGACCCCTCAAATGGAAAGGCAAGAGAGCTGGTGGGAACACACTGGATGAGCCTTTTTGCTGGATGACAGGGGTTTAAAACATGAGGCGGGCTTCTTCCTCTTGATTTGGACTCTACCCAAGCATTTTCTGTGTCTCTCTAATTTAACACTAAGGGACGCGGTGGTTCAGTGGTCAGGATGCTGAGCTTGTTGATCAGAAAGGTAGGCAGTTCGGCGGTTCAAATCCCTAGCGCCATGTAACGGAGTGAGCTCCCATTACTTGCCCCAGCTTCTACCAACCTAGCAGTTCGAAAGCATGTAAAAAATGCAAGTAGAAAAATAGGGACCATTTTGGTGGGAAGGGAACAGCGTTCTGTACGCTTTCAGCATTTGGTCATGCTGGCCACATGACCACGGAGACGTCTTCAGACAACGCTGGCTCTTCGGCTTTGTGACAGATATGAGCCCCCCAGAGCTGGAAACTACTAGCATGTATGTGCGAGGGGAACCTTCACCTTTACTTAATTTAACACTAGACAACCTGTGACCGCTGGGCTCACCGTTTCAGAGAGGATTCCTGACCAGATTCCTCAATGCCTTCAAAAAAGACAGAACTTCTTCTAATGCACTGGAAAAAATATTTAAAATTCAGGGGGATATTCAGAGATGTATCTGCCTTGAAAGGAGCCCATGTTAAACTGTATAGAACAGTCAAACATCAGCAGGGAGCCACAGGAATTGTTTTATAACATTTTGTATTATGTCATCAAATCCTTCATGACCATTTTTTTTAATCCTAAAATGTTTTATGAAATTTGCCAAATTTCAATTCCCAGATTTTTGGATGCATTTTGTGACTTGGCCTGTGTTGAAAATGTTTTTGCACTGTTTCAGCCACTTACAGAGACAAGAGTTTTATCCGCTTATAGATACAGATGCTTGACTAATACACCTGCCTTTTTCATTTGTTCGCACTCTCAGACTAGAGAGCTATAGTGGTTAATTTGTCTGGAACTTATACTACCAGCCTCAAAAAAACCACCTTGAAGAAGCTTTTTTTTCTTCAAAAGGCAATTGGACTGTTTCTTCCTTGAGGAAGAAGAAGAAGAAAGCATTTTGCTTCTCATCCAAGAAGCTTCATCAGTTCTGATGGTGGGGAGAAATCCATCCCTGTTGCAACTGACGACCCCTCCCTCAACAGATAAGACGCCACTTGTCTCCAGTTTACAACGCAGCCCTTGCAGAAGTTCCAAGAAGAGTCCACGGCCAATTGCATTCCGATTCAGGTGACCCTCAGGGCACAGATAAACCCCCGTGGGGTCCTCAACTGCTCTGAGAGAGCTAATGATCAGATGATTGCAAAGAAATAGGATGCTTTGATTACCACACCCACCCCCCATTCGGAATCAATTCTAATAAAGGAGAATATTTGCAGCTCAGGGTCCCTGCTACTCTCTGAGCTTGGTTGCTTTCTTGCAGTTTGGTTTCATTTCATTCCTGCAGACGTTTCATTTCATTGTTACCTTAACTAGGTAACACCTTCCGTGCTAGTAAGGAGTTCTGTTTGCTGTCAGTTTCTAGTGGCTTGCTTGTCACTGTTGGTGGTGGTGGGGCTTAGAAATTCTTTGATTGGGCTGTTTGCTGTTGGCTTCTTTGGCAGTCTCTTGATTGGGGTCTTGTTCACTTGATGGTTGGTCTAATGTTAACCTTGGAGTTAATCTCTGCGGACCTGGGTGATGATTGCTGGTGGAGAGATGTTTTGGGGCCTTTTCTGCTCCTTTTGGGGCTGGGTGTGTCTCTTGCCTAGTCATTAGATGCTGTCAATATCTATGTGTCTATTGATGGCGGATTTCTCAGCATGCCAGGCTTCTAGAAATTCCCTGGTGTTTTCGGACTTGGTTCGGTCTAGGATAGTCACATTTTCCCAATGGAAACTATGGTTAAATCTGTCTGTATCAAAGGCGTCAAACTCACATCAACACAGCAGCGTCATGTGACATATTTTGTGTCTTATCTTTTCTTGTCTTTGAGTGGCCAGCACATGCATTCGGCCCATGGGCCGCGAGTTTGACAGCCATGGTCTACAAGTTGTGAAATTAAATAATTTTCATCATGTCTTTTGACTGCTAGTTGGTGTTCATGGATGCATTCTGCCAGTCTTCTTCCTGTTTGTAGTAGCTTTAGTTGGCTTGTTTGCTATGCTGATTCCATATGGTTGGAATAGTCGGATGAGCTGTGGTGGCGCAGTGGTTAGAGTGCAGTACTGCAGGCTACTTCTGCTGCCTGCTGGCTGCCTGCTGATGTAGCTTCTTGGATGAGAAGCGAAATGTTTTATTCTTCCTCAAGGAAAAAAAAATAATCCAGTTCCCTTTTGAAGAAGAAAAAAGTGCCTTTGAGACAACTATGACATGGATGACTGAGAATCCCCACAAACGAGTCTCAAGGCCTCCCCACTAAGGCGAGTTTATAGAGTTGTATTTATCATGGTCAGGAGTGAACGTAACCACCGTCATTTCTCCATCTGAGAGATTTGATCACTCATTATTTCTAAATCAAGGCCTCAAGACAACAGAGACTTCTGGAGCTCGAGTCTCTCTCACCTCTGACTTCTCAAACCTTCCCTTCCTCTCTCACAGTCTTTTTTTGCTGAGCGGTTCTTTGCTTTGTTTGATTCCGATGCAAGTGGAACCATCAGCCTGGATGAGCTCCTGAAAACCTTAAAACTGCTGGTCCATGGGAATGAAACCGACAAGCTCCAATTCCTCTTCCAGGTCTACGATGTGGATGGTAAAATTCCAAACTGATGAATCTGATAACCTGTGTTTTATCGAAATGAGATTTTGATTTTCAGGTCCTTGTATGGCTGCCAACCATTGTGTCTCATGGAATAGCCCCCAGCGCTCCTAATTCTGGAATGTTGTGTATTTTTATGAACAGATCTAGTGCCTTTGAGTGATCAACAAAACTTTGAGAAATTCAAGAAATGCCACTTATAAATTGATGCAGAAACCCTTGTCATCTCTACGTCAAAAGATTCCAATTATATCTGAGGCAGATCTTCAAAAATTGGGCTAAACCTTCATCATACATAGGTTGTGAGATAGAGTGCTCTTTTGCAAGATCAGCAAGGAGTTAGAATGTATTGGGAAAAGACAACGGATTGATTCTGAAATATGTAAAGAGTTTAATCTAGAGCAGGGGTCCCCAACCCTTGGGCCATGGACCGGTAGCATGAACCAGGCCGCATAAGCGGCAGGCGAGCGTGTAAAGCTGTATTTGCACATGCACGAGATTAGGTTGCCTGCATGAAACCATCTGCTCCCCGCCAGCCATCGCCACTGCCAGTCCATGGAGCTCAAAAGGTTGGGGACTGCTGATCTAGAGCCATCACTTGCGCTAAGGTTAGCTTCCGTCTTTGGAGGAGATTGTTTTTATGTATTGATTTTATTGATTTGATTTGTCAATCGCTTACAAGACAATAGGTATAAGAATAAACATGAGTGTGAATACAGGAAATAGGTACGAATAAATGGGGACAATGGGACAGGGAGGGTAGGCACGATGGTGCACTTATGCACGCTCCTTACAGACCTCTTAGGAATGGGGTGAGGTCAATAGTGGATAGTTTGAGGGTAAAAGAGTACGACAAGATCCCATCAATAGGCCCAACTTCTCAGTAATTCCTGAAGGTATATATAAGGAAGAAGGTTTTAAATGATATAATTTCCATATGATTCCATTCAATCAAAGAATAATTGCAGCAGTTATGGCTCTCTAAGTCTCAGAGGAAGAATCTATAGGAGGTACCACTGTAGTTCCTCCAGGGAAATGTCTTTCTTTTAGGTTGTATAGATACAATCTTCTCATGATCTGGCAAGGAAGCAGAATCTACTGACTTTGATTTCCTGGTCCACACATTCTGTCCATTGACTTCCTCCTCCTCCCCCTCCTCCTCCTCCTCCTAAGAACATCTTAAATCTGACCTGTCGTGGGGATTTACACCAAGCCAAGTGGATTTGTTTTCTTATAGGCGGTGGCTCCATTGAACCCGATGAATTCCGCATGGTCTTAAAAGCCTGCCTGAAAGAGAGCTCAATCTCTCTGCCTGAAGAGAAGCTGGATGACCTGACAGGGGCTCTTTTTGAGTCAGCAGATTCCGATAAAAGTGGATCCGTAACCTTTGAGGAGCTGAGAAGGGAACTGCAGGGTTTTCCAGAAATCATGGAGAACTTAACAATAAGGTATTTTGAATCCAGTCAACATCAGTCATTTCCAACAAAGGACATTTCACACTCTGTGCCATCCCAGTTCTATTGATCTTTCAGGAGCGTGAACATTATTTGCAAACTTCATCCATTCCTTTTTGTTTCTGATACTTATATCTGAAGCCCTAAATGGCTTCAGGTAAGTGAGAGAACATCTGTTGCTCCACATCCAAATTCAACGGTCTAAATTAGTAAGACTTCAAAATGGCTAGCTGCCTGGCACTTGGGGGAAGAGTGGTCTTTGGGCTGATTTGTGTTGAGGATCCCTCCGGAGGCTGAAAAGCCTCGGAAACTCCGCTCTCTCCTTTCTCTTTCAGCGCTGCAAGTTGGTTAAAGCCGCCCACAGCTCCCCGGAAGAGCCAAACCCCCCATATCTTGAGTCCTGTGTATTGGCACAACAACAAGAACAAGCTCCTTCTGCTGGGTGGCTATGCCTGTGTGAACATCATCCTCTTCATCTTGGCTGCCCTAAAGCAGGCTGGCTCGGGCATTTGGATCGTGGTGGCCAGAGGCTGTGGGCAGTGCCTGAATTTCAACTGCGCATTCATACCGGTGAGGAACTGGGCTGCATCTCACATCCCAATCTGTCAAGCCTGTTCCTCATCAGGGAAAGTTGGAGCAGGGTGTCAGGAGGAAAACAACACTGTAACCGTTGCTTACTAGGAAATCCAAGCTTTGTTTTAAATGATAACTTTGCATTAGCACATTTTTGCCCAGAACGTTGCATGCACCATTTTTTTAAAGGATGATGAAATTTTTTCGATTCCTAGAGATGGAGACATCTTTATAACAGAGCAGTCATTGCTGGACAGTTCTGTTTGGAACTTGGAAAGGACGCGTGACAAAATGCCTTCAGTGGAAAGTCACAGGCCTTGAACTGTATGTGCAACTGATCAGAAAATGCTCCTTTTCTTACTCCCCTATTTGCCTTCCTGTGGGTGTCCACCAGTACAGCACCTCTGGCAAGCAGTCTTGGTACCCCATTTTTTGTTTTCCAGAAATGGGGATACTGAGAGAGTTTCCTTGAAATGCAGGTGAGGCTGGTGCTTTACTTTCCAATTTTAATTTTAAAAATTAAAGCAATCACTACTTACCCCCTGGGACTGATAGACTGCCAGCGGCTATCCTGGTGTCCACATGGCCTATCTTTAGCATAGTAGTCGAAATCGTTGATATTGACACTAATGTGTGAAACGATGCAATTCCAGTCAAGTCCAGTGCTATAAGCTCCCATCCAAAGAAGGAGGCAAGGCGGGCAGATAGCATAAACTGACAAACACCTAAATATCACCAGTAATGCGCTGCAGCTGCCAGAAAAGCCAATGTAGCATAGGTTGCATCAACAGGAATAATATCAAGATCATATGATGTCAGGACTCCAACAAAACCACCTCTACTCAAATCATAAGTCTCTAGCTGCATCTCAGAAAAAAGAAAATTGATTTATTAGAAGTGGCCATGCTGGCGTTAGCTGGGTGCAGTTGATACTAAAATACATTCATTTCCCCCTTGACCCTGGTCTTCCCCCCCACCCCCTGGATGTATATTCTCCAATGGGACACATCCATCCCCAAGAGTCATCAATCATGCTCTCCAGTAATTTTCTTGCGCTCCGACAACTTTGGGCTGCCAGGGTGATTATCTAGGCACTTAAGGAATGCACTGTTCCCCCCCCTCCCTTTTTCTGGCAGCTAAAAAGACTAAAGGAGTATCTT